CTTTGAAAAGGTTATAGGTGCTCAAACTCAGGGACACAGAATGTTGAAGGGCAAAAACCACAAAGACCATAATTTAATTACAAGTTAGATATAGTTCAGATTATGTTGAAATGTTCTTTGTTAACAGAATAGAGTACTCATCTCAATCATAACATGACAAAATAATTTTGAATTATAGCATCTTTATTTATTGTGGTTTTCTTACTTATCTGGTCGATTCTTCTGCACCATGGACGTGTCCATTGAAATCTGAAATACATGTGAAGGCAGACATGACTGTGGTGGAGAACAGAGAGGGTTGAGAACTGTGTGAGGAAACACAAGTTGGAGTCAGAACATGAAGGACTTACCTTAGTCATTTCAATGTGTGCCTGCATGTTGCCTTCTGACATGTCTGTCCTTACTCTCTCTCTCTGGGTCCAAAGGACTAAGAGGGAGACTGGTCTCCTCTCACTAATCTGATGATGCCGAGTAAATTGCTCTGATATTCACAACTTGAAATAATAAACATGGAATATCTCACAGTGTCAGGCACCCATGAGGAACCAGGCTGGGTGGTTCTTCCTCAGGGCCTCTCATGAGTCACACTGTTGGCTGAAGACATGACACATGCTGGAGGTTCTATGACCAAGTTTGCTCTCATGATTTTCTTTTTCCTATGGTACTATAAACTGAACCAGGGTATTGTGTTTTCTGGGCAAGTCCCTGACCACTCAACTAACCCCCAGCCCTCTCATGGCTTATAATGGAAAATCTCTCTGGGCCTCCTCAAAGGGCTGCTCAGTTAGGCAGGAGCCTCAAGACAGGAGGGAAGCTTCTCCACAGGCTCAAGATATTATCTGCTGGCATTTTTAGCTTTTGGATTGAAGCTGGTTGTCTGCTAAGTGAATAGACTCTATTGTCACAAGGTTTAGTTCTGACACAGAGGGAGGAAACATGGCTGTTCCAGAGAGCAGCACTTAGCCCATGAGAAGTTTATTAGCCCCTGACCTGCAGTGCTCCCATCTCTCTACAGTACTGAAATTCAGATCAGCCAGCCAGGCTCTGCAGACACAGATGCTTTAGGAGTTTTCCTTCACTGCCAGACAAGGCAGCTTCCCTTCAGAAGTCTGAGAGCCAAAGAGGGTACAGCAAGTCTCTGTTGAGAACAAGCCCATTGCTGCCAGACAGGACGGTTACACAGATGTACATGGGGTTCTGTCAGGATCTAGGCATATGTTTATTAATGTGTGAGTTTCCATAAAGAAATCAGGGAGCATGGAAATAAAGTTGTTGTGTTCTTTTTGAAGTTACTTAGAAAGTCTAGGACAAAGTGGATCAAAGACCTCAACATAAATCCAGTTAGTTACACGAAACTTAATAGAAGAGAAAGTAGGAAGTACTCTTGAAAGCACTGGCACAGGAGATCACTTCCTAAATATAACACCAGCAGCACAGACATTGAGCACAACAATTAATAAATGGGACCTCTTGAAACTGAAAAGCTTTTGTAGGGCAAAAGACACCGTCAATATGACAAAAAGACAGCCTACAGAATGGGAAAAGACCTTCACCAACCCCACATCTGACAGAGGACTGATCTCCAAAATATATAAAGAACTCAAACTAGACATTAAAATACTGAACAATCCAATTAAAAAATGGGCTAAAGAGCTAAACAGAGAATTCTCAAAAGAAGAATCACAAATGGCTGAAAAACTTTTAAAGAAATGCTCAACATCTTTAATCATCAGAGAAATGCAAATCAAAACGACTCTGAGATACCACCTTACCTTGTCAGAATGGCTAAGATCAAAAACACCAATGACAGTCAATGTTGGAGAGGATGCGGAGTAAAGTGAACACTCCTCCACTGTTGATGAGAATGCAAACTTGTACAACCACTGTGGAAATCAGTATGGCGGTTTCTCAGAAAATTGGGAATTGATCTACTTCAAGACCCAGCCATACCACTCTTGGGCATATACCCAAGGACTGCTCAATCATACCACAAAGATACATGCTCAAATATGTTCATAGCAGCACTATTCGTAATAGCCAGAACCTGGAAACAACCTAGATGCCCGTCAACTGAAGAATGGATTAAGAAAATGTGGTACATACACACAGTGGAGTACTACTCAGCAGAGAAAAACAATGACAGCATGAAATTTGCAGGCAAATGGATAGAACTAGCAAATATCATCCTGAGTGAGGTAACCCAAACCCAGAAAGACAAACATGGTATGTACTCACTCACAAGTGGATTCTAGATATAAAGCAAAGAACAATCAGACTGCAACCCACAGAACCAGGGAGGCTATAAAGCAGGGGGGACCCTAGGATGACTGTGGCTTATAAGTAGTTTTGGTTTTACACAATTCCTGGGCAAGCCTCAACGAAACATTTCACAATTAGGATAAGAATTTATACTGTATCAAGCTGATAATAGAAAAATAAATAAATAAATAAATAAATAAATAAATAGGAAAAAATTAAAACAACAAATGTGAAACAAGAACTAATTTAAGGGGCTGGAGAGATGGCTCAGAGGTTAAGAGCACTGGCTCCTCTTTCAGAGAACCCAGGTTCAATTACCAGCACCCACGTGGCAGCTCACAGCTGTCTGTAACTCCAATTCCAGGGGATCTGACACCTTCACACCAGTGCACATAAAATAAAGTTGAACAAATTATTTTTTAAAAAAAGGACTAATTTAAAATAAAAAAAAGAAAAGAAAAAAGAAAGTCTAGGACAACTATTATCTGCATCCCTACCTGGTGGCAAGTTCGGCTTGTGCCCTGTCTTTTTATCTCTGATTTCTGCCGAGTTTCACACTGACCATTAAACAATTAGAAAAACAGATAGCCAGAATGGCAATCCAGTGGGCTTGTCATTTAGAACAAAGATAAGGGATTTCCCATCAAGATGTGGTTCTGCCTCCTGGAGCTTCTAATGCACATTACCAGGAATCATGCCATGTGTACATTTCCAAACTGAGCACGGAGCACAACTTGTCTGGGCCAGCATTTCCTAAGAAGAGGGAGGAGTCCCTGGTGGGGATAAATAGACATCAGTGTGCTTGGGGAGAACATCACACCAGGCAGACAGCCACTGGAACATCAGAACTCAGCTATCACAGACTCTGGCAGAGGGCGTCAGCTCTGCAGGTAATGCCTGGGATTCCTTCTCTCTGGGGACAGGAAAGGTGCCTTTGCAGCAGTGAGTGGTACTGGTAATGACCTGAAGTCTTGGTTTGGAGGGGTGAGGAGTAGTTCCTGGGACACTGGGTTAGAATCAGGGAACATTTCTGGGGTGCATATGAATCTTCTCTCCAGTCTGGGTCTTCATGTGTATGAAGATGGGGGTGCCATGGGCTATGCTCCTGAAGAGGGAATGGAGCCTGCTCCTTCTGACCCTCCACGGGGAGGAAGTATTGAGACCTTGACTATGCCAGTGCAGCTGTAGGAACCAGAGGGAGACAGACAGTTACAGAGTCCTTTTGGGGGTGGTGACATCCCTGCAGTGCTTACAGCAGAGAGGAGATGCCTTAGGGTCAGGGACCCCACTTCCCCCACAGATCCGATGACCAAGAAAAGGGACCACACCCTCTCCTAATAAGGAAAAGTAGGCTAGAGCTCAGCCACTGAGCCAGGTCTCCTCCTCAAACGGACTCGCCTCTTTTCTGTGGAAATAATTTTGATGTAAAATATGGTTGAATGTTTTCCAAAGAAATGGTTGCATCAGTCTGACGGTAAACACAGGGTAAAGACAGCCAAAGTCCCTGGCCCATCTGCAGGCACGGGCCTGCATAGCCCTGGGCACTAGTGTCTCAGCTCCAATACCTCCCTCCCCTGCTCCCTCCATTCTGCTCTACTCTTCTGGTGTTCCCTCTCCTCCATCTTCCTCTCCCTCCCCCATCTCATCCCCCTCCCTCCTCCACTCCCCCCTCCTCTTGCCCCCACTTTCTCACTCCAGCTTCTTTTCCCACCTGGTCCTCTCTCCTCTGTTCTTCTTCCTCACCTTCCTATTCCTCTAGCATCTACGTTCTCCTCTGAACTCATCTAGAGTGTGAATAAGGCTAAGGAGAGTGGCAGTGTTTACCATATCCTAAGCCTTCAATTGTAGTTTTCAGGATGCTTGTGCCCCAGTCCAGGGATGTAAGAAGGAGATGGCCCTCTGGACACTCCCCACCAATACCCACAAAGCTCCTAATAAGCTATACACTTTTACTAAAAGTGTACCCTGGGTCACTTAACAAGCTGTCCAGAGAGGTCCACCCATTTGCTTGCTACCACCACACAGTCATCCTGACAGCCAAAATGGAAAATGGTCCAGGTGTCAGAGACTCAGACATCATTCAATTTCCTTCCCACCAGGAGGTCTTCCAAGCTGAGATACAAACCTCCCCTACTGGTCCTTCTAATACCTGTGATCAAGGGTCCCAAGGCTTTGGCGCTGCACCAGAGCCACCCTCAATTAACCCTTCACACTCCCAGAAACAGGCACTAGGTTCAGCCCATGGCTGTGGATTTCTTAGACATGTCTGCAGGAGGTTGGGGTGGGCCCTGTCCTGCACAACTGATCTAATGTTCTTTCCCTAAGCCAGGACTAGAGGTTGATGATGGAGTAGAGGACACAAATGCAAAATAAGAGATCCCCTGCTTTCTAATGAGTCCTTATGTCAATCCAGAAGAGGAGAGGAGACATTCAGATTACACAAGGCTTGAGCCCATCCCCAGAATTTTCTCTTCCTTACCTTGTGACCCTAGCAAATCTCTTCATCCCTCTGAGTTTTGATCCTCTATTAGAGAATATTGGTTGCTGCAACAGCAGTTCTTCCTGTGGTAAAAGGGAGCAGAGGCTGTGGCACTACCATCTGAGTGTCCAGAGAACCTCCCATGCACAGTCACAGAGGCAGCAGAGCAGGCACACAATGGGAAGACCAAGGAGATGGTCAGGGAACCATGTGACCCTCTCCGACAAAAGGATCTTTTCTTTTCAAGAAGGAGAACAGAGTAATGGCTGAGATCTCCCCTAAAGTCCTCTGCCAACCAGATGGCACATTGGGAAGGGACACTGCTGTCCAGGAAAACCAGAACAACAGGACACCAGTGGACAATCTAACATTGACCTACACCAACACGGACTTCACCTTCAGCCTCTACAAGGAACTGGCTTTGAAGAATACAGATGGAAATGTCGTCTTCTCCCCATTCAGCATCTCAACAGCCTTGGCCATCCTGTCCCTGGGAGCAAGGAGCAACACCCTGGAAGAGATTCTGGAAGGTCTCAAGTTCAGTCTCATAGAGACCCCTGAGGCAGATATCCACAGGGGCTTTGGGCACCTCCTCCACATGCTCAGTCAGCCAGGGGACCAGGTGCAGATCAGAACAGGTAGTGCCATGTTTATTGAAAAGCACCTACAGATCCTGGCAGAGTTCAAGGAGAAGGCAAGGGTGCTGTACCAGGCTGAGACCTCCACGATTGACTTCCAGCAGCCTCATGAGGCCAAAAAGAACATCAATGACTATGTGAGCAAACAGACCCAGGGAAAGATCAAGGAACTGATCTCAGACCTGGATGAGAGTTCATTAATGGTGCTGGTGAATTACATCTACTTTAAAGGTGAGAATGATTGCTCTTTCAGGGGTGGATGGAGAGGGTGTTGGCTGGGTACCTTGTGTCCATACACTGACCACTGGAAAGGAGGTGCTCATGAGCTTAGAGACATGGGTGCCTAACTTCTTATTATTAACAGGCATTACTTCTCTGTGGTATTCTGGATGGTGGTTGAGGTTCCTGGTGCTTACTAAATAGAACCCCTGAGCTCTCAGCCTAAGTGGGCTCAATTTGACTGGGACTTAAACTTAGTGACTAACAGAATGCATAGCTTGCTTGTCCAGTCCTCCCTGAGTGGGGAGAAGCCAGGGCTGCTCCTGCAGAGACTGAGTCCCTGTTCTGCCCACTCCAGCATTTCTAATCTGCTCCTGTAGAAGGTGCCCATCCCTACTGGAAAGCCTCTATCTCTATGAGGGTCCAGGTGGGCTTGACTTTTTACCTAAGGGGCCTGGCTACCCAATCTTAAGGAGAATGTAGCATGTGCCACAGCTAGTGAAGAGCCCTTCATGCATTCCTTTGCAGGACCTCTCCCCTGATTCTTTCTGCATCAAGCTAGACCTGGGCATGAAGAAGCAGGGACTGGGGCAAAGACATTAGTTTGAAGAAAGATCAGCCATGCAATGTTCTACGTTCAGTGTCTGGCTGCTTTTTGGAATTTTGTTTTTGTAAAACTACTTGCCTGGCAGCATGGGAGGTCACAGTGCACAAATACTCACTCCTGAGCCAGGGAATCTGGAGGTAGGGAGCTAGTGATTGAGAAACTGGGCTGGAATTGCATTGGGTAAGGATTTTGGGGCGGACATCCAGAGCCTACACTCCAAAACCCTGCCTGATAGAGACCAGGGATTGAGGCGATAGCCCATAAAACAATTCCTGATGAAAATCCTGATGTGGCCTGACCTGGGGTGGACTTGAGGCTGGACACAGGATAGTCTAGGGCAGAGGAAGACAGATTCTGAGACTATAGACAGAAAACCAATTTGCCATGGACAGAAGAGGATAGGAGAACAGAGGACATTTGTTCAGGGTGGAGCCAGAGCAGCTCTTCTCTGAAGAGAAGGGAAGCAGAGTAAAGGGCTGAAGGATTACTGCAGGGCGAGGCTCTCTTGCTGGGCCCAGAACCCAAGCTCCAGAGCTGCTTGGCTGTGAGGAGGAGTTGTATGTTTATGCAGCTGCATCCTGAGCCCAAGAAATTGTCAAAGTACCAAGTCCCCCAGGGTGTATTGTAGATGGTCACATGCACTTGGGATGTGCACAAAGCCTGGGCAGGAGATCTGTGATTCATGGAGGTGAACATGGCCAATGTGGGAGAAGAGGACTCATTACTCATCTTAGTCAACCAACTATGGGATCCTGTTACTCCAAATCTAGAAGATACAGGTCCCTGGAGCTTGAGTCTAAGCCCACACTTGGCTCTGGGCTCTGCCTTCCATTAGTTGGTTCACACTGAGGAGCACTATCAACAGATCACTGCCGGGAGGTTCAGTCTCTCGTGTTCCCTTGAAATCTGTCCCCCAGCAATTGCCTTCTAGACAGGGTTCCTCCTGAGGAAGAAGGGATCCCCAAATATCCTCAGGCTCCATTCTCTCCATTTTCACTCACATTTCTCTCTAATATACCCCACCCTCAGATCCTAGATTGTTTCTCAGGTACCTTAAGTAGCCAAGCTTCGGATTTGAGTTCCTCTTTCCAAACCAAGCCTGTGGATCAAATCTCATTCATAGTTCTGCATCTAGCAATGTTTTTTCCAATCCAGACTGTGCAGCCACCATGGGATACTACACTCTCTGTTGTTGAAAATGGATTGCTCTTTTGACTCAGAAACTGGGCAGAAATTGGGAGGAGGAGGTGTCTCTCCTGTGCTGTTACATTCTGATGGCCTGCTCCACATTTAGGGAAATGGAACAGACCATTTGACCCTCATGACACATTTGAATCTGAGTTCCATTTGGACAAGAAGAGATCTGTGAGGGTGCCCATGATGAAAATTGAGAATCTAACCACACCCTACTTCCGGGATGAGGATCTGTCCTGCTCTGTGGTGGAGCTGAAGTACAGAGGCAATGCCAGCGCCCTGTTCATCCTCCCTGACGAGGGCAGGATGCAGCAGGTGGAAGCCAGCTTGCAACCAGAGACCCTGAGGAAGTGGAAGGACTCTCTGAGGCCCAGGTGCGTGTCCACAGTACCCAGAGCTGGTCTGGCTCCCCATCCTGCTGTTAACCCAGTGTCCCTGTACCTCAGAGTCTCACTAGCACCCGGTGTAATGGTTGGAGAGTCAGCAGGGACAGGTGGAGCAGAGGTTACTTTCTCAGGAGTTTTTGGACAGATTTTACTGTCATTTTGTTGTTCACAAGATGGCATCAGCTAGTTCAGGAGCTGAGGATTCCTCTGTGTCTAACAGGTTGTAATTATAGGGAATCTTGAATGGGTTTTGGAAGGCAGAGGGAAGTGAGGTTGAGGGGCCTATTAGTCAGACCAGGTCCTTTCCCCCAGCACTCCTACTTAGGGCACAGTACCCATTTTCTAGATTGGCAACTGACGAACCTGAAATGATAGATAGACACCTTCAACTTCATCACCCAAAATGCAGGGTTTGGAGCAAAGGATCAATAAAAGTATAATTCACTCAGCTCCTGTTGGCAGGGGTGTGCCCTCTAGTGACCACAAGGTAGTAGAAATTGTCACTTATGCTCTGTGACTCCTGTGATGGACCTCTGACCTACATGTTATTATCAATCCTTTTTATGGATCAGGAAACTGAGGCACAGAGAATCTTAGTCATTTCCCATGACCTCACAGCTAGACATTATGACTGGTGGGATGTTCTTCAAGTGTCCTGATGCCAGAGGAACAGTTTTCACCAAGTGGGGATCTGTGCACAGGCATCACCATGGTGGTGTGCAGGTGGATCATAAAACAAGGCTCTAGATACTTCACAAAGAGCTCCCAAAAGCACATATGGATCATGTGACCTCTGAGTTGAGGTCAGAGGAGGGTGAGAAGGTCATCACATGACCAGAAAAAAATGTCTTGGGCAGGGTTCCCAGTAATGGAGGCATTTCTAAGAATCTGATAGGGAGTGAGTCTTTGGGACAACACAGCAGAAGGGTGGTGGAGAGGAAGAAGCAATTACAGACAAAAGATGGTAAAGAGCCTGGATCTGGGAGGATTCTGAAATTCCTCAGAGCCGCAGCGAGCATTGGGGGGGTTTGTTGGTGTTTGCTGTCTTAGGCAAGTTACTCTGTGTGGTTACAATGCAGAGAACTGAGTTATTCAGAGGTCAGGTTGTCATTGAGGAAAATTTTAAGGAACAGCTGGAGAGGGGAGTTGATGATCTAGATCAAGAGATGAGCTTTCTTGGTGTGTAGATTCAGAAGGAGAAGTGTGGTGGTATTGTGTTCCCCCAAATATTGTGCACCCTAGTAAACTTATCTGGGGTCAGAGGACAGGACAGCCACAATATTAAACATAGAGGATAGGCAATGGTAGCACACGCCTTTATCCCAGCATTCCAGAGGCAGAGATCCCTCTGGATCTTTGTGAGTTCAAGGCCACACTGGAAACAGCCAGGCATGGTGACACACGCCTTTAATCCCAAGAAGTGAGCCTTTAATCCCAGGGAGTGATGGCAAAAACAGAAAGATATATAAGGCGTAGAGATCAGAAACTAGAAGCATTTGGCTGGTTAAGCTTTTGGCTGGTTAAGCTTTTAGGCTTTTGAGCAGCAGTTCTGCTGAGACCCATTTTGAATAAGGACTTAGAGGCTTCCAGTCTGAGGAAACAGGATCAGCTGAGGACCTGGCAAGGTGAGGCAGCTGTGGCTTGTTCTGCTTCTCTGATCTTCCAGCATTTATCCCAATACCTGGCCCTGGATTTTATTTTATTAATAAGACCATTTAAGATTCTTGCTACAGAGAAGAGGAGGTCTAGACATTGGATTGGGGCATCTGGTAATCATTGAGAATCCTCTGAGCCCGGAAACACAGCCAGCAGCCTGCATGGAGAGGGAAAGTTGAACATTCAGTTGGAGACTTACTTGTGTCTTAAAGATCCTAAGGAAACTCTTGACAGGTGGCTCTGAGATCAGCAGAGATGTGCAGCCTGGCGGGATCCTCAAAGAACCCCTTCCCCAGTAAACACCGAGATACCATTCCATGAAGGATGTGATGTGAGAGAAAAGCAAACATCTATTGAAAGCAAACAAATGTTCCAACCATCTTTCCAACGTGTAGCAGGGCAGGTCCTGAGGCAGGGGTACAACCAGCACTCCATGGGCACTGACATGTCCCAGCTGTATCCCAACATTTTTCCTGGATTCAGTACAAGTATATAAGGAGGCTGGTGCTGAATGCATCTCAAGCTGACCAGACCTGTGTCTTGAACTTGTGGACAAAGTCTGAGTCCACCTCTTATGGGAGTTTAGGACCTAGATATCAGGGTTCACTTTTTCTCATTCCCTGGGGGCTGAGGATTCTCTCACTTCTTGGCCATCAAATGTTGCCTTAATGATGAACTCCCTACAGGGACAGGCCCAGCTTTCAATAGACGAAATGGAGTGTGGAGGGGGAATGGAGGGGCCTGTAAACTGCAGTTTACTGAGGTTGAAGGCCTGGGAACTCCATGCTTAGCTCAGGAGTTTCTACATGTTGAACAATCACCTTATAGAAATTTAGCAGCGGTAAGTGGCTGAGTGGTGTGGTGTGGTGGGGTGGTGGTCTTAAAAACAATGCACCATATACTTCCTTCTGTGCTTCTGCAACATGGCCCATCAGGTCTAATAATAGTCTGACATTCTGTAGGCTGTTGTTTTGTCTTATTGACTGTGTGTCCTTTGCCCTACAAAAGCTTCTCAGTTTCAGGAAGTCCCATTTATTAATTGTGCTCTAGTGTCTGTGCTACTGGTGTTATATTTAGGAAGTGATCTCCTGTGCCAATGCATTAAAGACTACTTTCTACTTTCTCTTCTATGATGTTCAGTATAACTGGACTTATGTTGAGGTCTTTGATCCACTTGGATTTGAGTTTTATGCATGGTGACAGATATAAATCTATTTGCAATCTTCTACATGTTGACATCCAGTTATGCCAGCACCATTTGTTGAAGATGCTTTCTTTTATCCAAACAACAACCTACAGAATGGGAAAAGATCTTCACCAACCTCACATCTGACAGAGGGCTGATCTCCAAAATATATAAACAACTCAAAAGGCTAGACATCAAAATAACAAACAATCCAATTAAAAAATGGGCTACAGAGCTTAACAGAGAATTCTCAACAGAAGAATCTCAAATGGCTGAAAGACATTTAAGGAATTGCTGAACATCCTTAGTTATCAGGGAAAAGCAAATCAAAATTACTAAGATACCATTTTACCCCTGTCAGAATGGCTATGATCAAAAACACTGAAGACAGCTTATGTTGAAGAGGATGTGGAGCAAGGGGAGCACTCCTCCACTGTTGGTGGGAATGCAAACTTTCACAGACACTCTGGAAATTAGCATGGTGGTTTCTCAGAAAATTGGGAATCAATCTGCCTCAAGACCCAGCTATACCACTCTTGGGCATATACCCAAGGAATGCTCAATCATACCACAAGGACACATGCTCAGCTGTGTTCATAGCAGCATTATTCATAATAGCCAGAACCTGGAAACAACCTAGATGCCTCTCAACCAAAGAATGGATAGAGAAAATGTGACACATATACACAATGGAGTACTACTCAGCAGTAAAAAACAATGGTATCATTAAATTTGCAAGCAAATAGACGGAACTATAAAATATCCTGAGTGAGGTAACCCAGACTCAGAAGGACAAACACAGTATGTACTCACTCATAAGTGGATACTAGACGTAAGGCACAGGATAACCAGACTACAACCCACAGCTCCAGAGAAGCTAGGAAACAAGGAGGACCCTAAGAGGGACACATAGATAGCCCAGTGCAAGAGAAATAGATGAGATCTACATGAGCAAACCAGGAGTGTGTGAGGGGGTAATGGAGGGCAAAGAATGGGGGATGAGAACATAAGGAAATGGGAAGTTCAAGCTGGAACAGGGGCAGAGTGGGAGAGCAAGGAAAGAGATACCATGATAAATGAAGACATCACGGGAATAGGAAGAGGCACGGTGCCAGGGAAGTTCTCAGGAATCCACAAGGATGACCGCACCTTGGACTACTGGCAATGGTCAAGAGGGTGCCTGGACTGGTCTATTCTGGTGACCAGACAAGTAAATACCCTAACTGTCATCATAGAGACTTCATCCAGTGACTGATGGAAGCAGATGCAGAGATCCATGGCTGGGTGCCAGGCTGAGCTCCAGGAATCCAATCAATGAGAGAGAGGAGGGATTCTATGGGCAGGGGACGTCAAAATCATGATGGGAAAATGTGCAGAGATGACCAGCCACACTAGTGGAAGCCCATGAACTGTGGACTGATAGCTGTGGAGCCCTATAGGACTAGACAAGATCCTCTGGATGTGGGAGGACAGTTGTTTAGCTTGAACTGATTGGGGGCCCCCAGGCAGAGTGATCAGGATCCATCCCTGGTGCATGGGCAGGCTTTTTGGAGCCCAGTGCCTGTGGTGTGACACCTTGCACAGCCTTGGTGCAGGGGGGAAGGGCTTGGACCTGCCTCAGCTGAGTGTGTCAGGCTCTGCTGACTCCCCATGGGAGACCTTGACTTGGGAAATGTGGGGATGAGAGGTGGGTTGGAGGGGGAAGGCTGAGGGGTGGGGAGAGGGAAGAGGGGGGATCTGTGGTTGATATGTAAAGTGAATAGAAAATTTCTTAATAATAAAAAATAGTCTGACATATAATGCTCTTGGCCAAATTACTTGTCAGAGGTAATTGCCAAGGTCTCATGTCTAAACATCAATAATCAGAGAATACCAACCATGAAGTACTATGGAAGTGATAAGAGTAGTAGTGGCAATGGTTATAATAACCATCAAGGGCCAGGCTGCCTCTTCCTCCCACCCCTTCAGCCTCATCAGAAACCCACTCCAATATTCAAGCATGGGAAGAGAACTTATCCCTTCAGGTGTTGTGCAGTTGGCACAGCCCAGGAGGGCACTGAAGCAGCTGCCACCAGGAATCAAGAGTGACCTCCCTGCAGAGAACACTGCCAGCCACTGTGCATCATCAGAACCCATGGTATCCATGCTCACCCAGAATGGCAGCAACATCCTCTCTCAGAGAATAATCCTCACCCCCAGGAAGGTTTGCTATAGTAACTTGCTAAGCAGACTGTAGGAGACGTGCACTATAGGGCATTCATTCCCAGCCTGTGCCTTACAACAAGTACAAAATCTGCAGCGTGTTTACAGTAATAAGTTCAGAGACCTGTGCTCCAAACCAAGGC